AGGGGGAAACGTGTCCAGTTAAATACTTGTTTTCAGAACCTCCTCTGCAACTAGTGCTGGACTTTAAAATGTAAACCAATCCCTTACCTCTTCTTCTGCCTTGAGGTTGGAGGTGATAAGTGGGACTGTAACAGTCATTTAGCCCCCATAAAGGAAAAGGCCAAAAGAATTATGGAGACAGTGGCTTAACATTGTCTGGGCTGATGAACCAACTGCACTTGTCTACTTCAGGTCTTCTTATGCAAGAAATATTAATTCCCATTTATTTAAGCTATTCTTAGTTTAAAACTATATTTCTGTGAGCCAAACATATTCTTAATTTGTACAGAGACAAACATGTAACAAATAAGTGCTGTGGAGCTGTAGGGGCAGAAACAACTAGGAAGTAACAGTCAGAGAGCTGGGGAAGAATCCGAGAGGCTGATGCTATAGAATCCAAGAGAGCAGAGAGCTAGGTAGAGAAGGGAGTGGTCAACCGTGAGAAACGCAGGAGAGATGTCAAGCGAGATAAGACTGCTTTAGCAATGAAGAGGTCCCTGGTGATTTTTACAGAGTAGTGTCTACTGAATGGTGGCGGAGAAAGAAAGGCTACAGAAGGATGAAGAGTAACTGGGAAGTGCAAGAACGAGAGAGTAATTTAGACCAGGGGTTAGCAAACTAGGGCTCACTGGACAGCTCTGCCCTGCCAGCTGTTTTTGTAAATAATGTTTTATTGGAACCCAGTCATGCCCACGCATTTCAGTACTGTCCACAGCTGCTTTTCGTGCTACAATGACAGAGATGAGTAGATGAGACAGAGACTCTACAGCACACAGAGAGCCTAAAATATTTACTATCTGGTCCTTTAAAGAAAACATTTGCTGACCCCTGATTTAGAGCATTTTTCCACATGCGTGGCTGTGCGGAGGAACAAATGGCCAACTAGCAAGAAGGAGACACAAGGTTGAAGGTTGCTGTCTTTGTTTTTAATTTTAAAGAGATGGGAAATAGCTTCGAGGGGAGATGCCAGGGCAGAGCGAGAGCACAAGGTGAGGGGCTCGCTAGTGACAAGGCGCCCCAGACTGCTCTCTCCCACGAGGGATGCTCACAATAAATTCATAGCATGGACAAGTGAGGGAAGATCTGCAAGAAGGTTCAGAACCCACTCTCTGAAGACTGTAGAAAAAGTTAGGCTAAAAAGAGAGGGGATGTTCTTTCTGCCAAATCATTTGGTCTCTGGGGGCCATAGTTTCACCATCAGTGAACTGAATTTTTATTTGGGGATTGGAAAGTCTAACCAATCAAGAATTGTACAGCCCTGCACAACTATGAAATGTCACTGAAATGCTTAATAATAATAGAACTCTCCTGACACCAGGATGCTGTGAGAATTAAGAGGTAGACGCTTTCATGGTGCCCAAAAGATGAAAAACTCAGTGTAGACATTAGGTCTTACTAACTACCAGCATTACAAAAGGCAGGTAGCAGGCACGGTGAACATGAATCACACAATTGCATGAAACCAGGCAGATTGAAACTGCTTTTAAAGAACAAAAAAGGAATACATTAAAATAGGAAGAGGTTGTTCACTTTTTCCTCTAACCTTAGGAGACTACAGGAAGTATCTGGTCATTTAGGTTTCAGTTTCAACCTTTTCTTCCCGCATTTGCACCAAAGAATCACAAAATATTAGAACTGGATGAGTCCTTCAATAACACTGATTTCAAACCATTTATTTTATAGACGAACATGAGACCCAGAGAAGTTACATCATTTAGCCAAAGGCCTAGAGCTGGCATAAGACTCCTACTCCAAGCTGTTTTCCTCACATTAGTGCCTGTATAGCCTTACCATTAAATCTTATCTCAATGGGCTTCCTGAGGGCTGTATTTGCCCAAAGGGACAGGGCAGAGGCAGTGGGCCTCTTCTTGGAGGGATAACTATTAGCTGGCTATATTTATGCAGCTGTGGACAACAGGCGTACCACGTGGCAGCTGTGTCCTGCCTGGGGTGTCTCCAAGGAGACAGGTCTCCAGGGTCAGTCCCGGAGAGAAGTGGGACTTACCAGCCCCTTGGGACCCTCCTGGTCCTCTGGTACAGGCAATTTCAGGAGCAGGCACAAGTCAGGGGATCCTACCAAGCTTGCCCCTGTGGGAATGTGCTCTTCAGTAACTCCTTGGGTGAGGAAGCAGGGCGGAGGAATTTCAGATCAGCTCAAAACTTCTGCCCTCCATTGCTTAAGTGACAAAAGTAGGTACCAAAACAGCACATGGAGTATCACCTCTGTTTTGAATGAAAAAATGATTCAAAAACCTATTCTTAAGCTTTTTGGGGTTATGAACCCCTTTCAGAATCCAAAGAAATCTCTCTGCAGAAAAATGTATGTGCTCCATAAATCTGACACAAATTTTGAGGAGTCCATGGACCACTTCGCATTCATGGACTCTGAGTGGGTCCCTGGACCACTACCCATTGCCCACTCTACCCACAACTAAAATTATGCTCATAGTGGTTATCTCTAAGTGGTAAAATCCTAGAGTACTTTTCATTTTCTAATTCTTTTATGTATTTCCCAAATTTTCAAGGACCATGTTTTGTTTATCCCAACCAGAAAAAAGTGTTATGTAAAAACTGAGTCTTAAAAGTACACACCCCAAACTCCTTCTATCATCTGCATTCATACGTTAGCTTTCAAGCACCCAACAAGCCTTCAAAAAGCTCAGACATGCCAACTACTCAGGTGAAGTTTTACGTTTCTGATCCTAATATTGTTCTTACTTTATGCATATTTTACTGTACTTAGGTCTGAGATATGTCAAGTAAAGGACTCAATGGAAAACTCCAAATCAATGTATCTCATTATTCCAGGCACTATCACAGAAATTCCCCCAAATGGGTATGTCTGAAGAAAACATTCCATTGATTATCTCAGTTAGTTAAAAATCTCTTTCCCCCATGCTTACCCTTGCATTCTTTCAGACCTCTGATGGCTATTTATCCAACTCTTTAACTGTATTCTCCTAAATGTCAGTCTAAGCTAAAGGGGAACCCAATAAAGTTACATTGTCCAGGAGGCAGATTAGATCCCAATAAGATCAGATGCAGACTCTAGTCCTGAAAAGCAGCCATGCAAGGAATGCTCTAAATGAATAAAGTACTGTATACTAAGTTAAATTGAGAGAAATGGGTAAAGTCATCTTAGAGAGTTCTGGGGAATATGCAGTATAAGACACAAGGAGGAAATGTTTCAGAAATTACATCAATAAATAAGTGACAGGACATAGCATTAATGGTGTTCCACTCCAGACAAGGCATCCCTGTCCTCTCACTCTCCCAGGTCTGTGAACTTGGGTTTCCAAGCCAGGAATCTCCTCCTCAGCAGACAGAAAATCAGGGTCTTACTCTTACAAAAGAGCCCTGAGGCAGTTCTCACTAAAGGGCTGACTTAAGCCTGTGAAGGATCAGGAAGGATGTATAAACAATGTCAACAAGGCTGGCTGGCAGAGCCACAGCCACACCAGGAGCAGGCTCTGACTGGATCAGCGAGTAAGTGTTCAACAAATAGACATTGTTCTGGAACTTCCTTTTCTATTATGGGCTGCGAGTAGAAATGGGAGCGGGGGCTGAGTGAGCCCATGAGAAAAATTGGGGTGCTGCTAAGCTGAGGTCCTGAAGAGAAACCTCAACTACTAGTTACTAGACTTCCAGAGAAGCTGCTGCTGGCTCAGCCCAGGGAAGATGAGCCCGCTGGCAGGGACTGAACATGCACACATGCTTGTGGGCTGCTTGGCTGCCGGGTAAGACTGCCACAGTGTTGCCCGCCACTAGGAGGGCAGTGTGGCAGAGCAAAACGGGCATGCGCTTAGAGGCAGGCAGCTCTGAGTTCAAATTCAGACTCTGCCACTTGGTAGCTAAATGGCCCAGGACAAATTGTTTAACATCTCTGAGCCTCAGTTTCTTCACCTGTAACACTTCAACTACCTTGCAGGGTTACTATGATGATTAAATGCAGTAACTTATGTGACACATGCTAGCAAGCATTCACTAAATGGCAGGGTAGTTTCTTGCCCCCTGGTCAAATCCATTTGCTACTCCTTGGCTCCAGTGATTTTTCCCAAGCAGAAATTCAACTTCCCAGTTGCCTACTTAAATGTTTCAATGGCTCCCCTTTGCTCCCAAGATAAAGAGCAAACTCTTGATGATCTAAGAAGCCCTGCATGTCTCGGTCCTTGTCAACCTCTCCCCCTTGTTCTCCTGTCCTCCAGCCACAGGGACCTTCTTTATGCCCTCGGAAAATGTAATCCTTCTCATTTCAAAACATTCACACAGGTTGGAAGCCTCTTCTTCCAAGATCTCATCTGCCTGGTTAATAGCTTCTCCTAACTTCTTTGGGAAAAACCTTTCTCACCCTCCAGACTAGGTCAGGCCTCCTGACAAGGCTCCCTTTACCTCTCTTTCACAGTCCTCAGCCTGCATTGTAATTATACTCCCAATGATTTACACGCTGTCTTAGAAAGATCAAGAGGTAAGGAACTGTGTCCTTTTTTGATTACCACTGAATCCCTAGCACTCAGCACTAAGCACAATACCTGGCCCATTTTAGGAGCTTAAAGCTTTGATTGAATAAACGAATGAAAGTTCAGAGGAAGGTTGGGAAGCCCTAGTTACTAAATTGGTTAGTACTTATCTGCAACACTTAACCACATTCTGCTTGGCATGCTTACTAATATTTAATTTTTCTTTTCCTTGCTGGATTTTTAGCTTTGTTGGTTACAACTTCAAATGTTCCACTGCCTCCATACGATAGGCTCAGAGGAGATGCTCCCTGCTGGGGAAATGGCATGGAATGGAAGGGAGTGTTAAGGGGTCTGAACAGGAACAGAGAGAAGGGTGAACTCTATCTTGAAGGCAGCTGTGGCCTGAGATAAGAACAGGTTTCCTATCCTAACCTTTCCTTCTCAGGGGCAGTTAAGTTGACCTCTCTTTATTGGGAGATGAGGATTCAACAGGGCAATACTTACCTGTTCCCAAGAAGAAATCATGTGACGTTCAGCAGGCGCCTTTTCCAGGATGGTCACCTCCGTCACACCTGGGGATGATTCTGGAAGAGGAAAGAGAGTCTGTAGAGTCACACATTTCTAGACTAGAGGCTGACTAACTGTTGATGACTGCTCTAGGAATATCAGATTCTTCTGAGGTGCATTTATTACTCCTATGATAAAAGCAGGGAAGAACTGTTGGTCTCTCAAAGGCACTCAGTCCCATAACTTAGGACCATATAATCTATCTGGTAAAAAGGACATCACCACAACATACCCTACACCCAGTCACTGCTCAGTCATTCAGTTTGCTGAACAAAAATCAGAGATTCTACATTCCTAGTGACACACTGAACTTCTCAGTGAGCTAAATCTATACACTTATGAACAGGATGAAAAAGAATAAGGAATAGCTAGGCTAACATTATGAAAAATGGATCCATTTTTTATAAGGCCACTGGAGATGTACTTAGTTAAGATGAGGTCATACTGGTGTAGGGAGGATCCCTAATCTAATACAACTGGTGTCCTTACAAAAAGAACACTATGTGAAGAGACATGCACAGAGGGAAGATGGCCACATGAATATGGAGGGTTGGAGTGATGCATCTATAAGACAAGGAACACCAGATTGCTGGCAAACTGCCAGAAGCTAAGAAAAGAAGAGGCAGAATCCTTCCCATCCAGGTTTCAGAACAAGTATAGCCCTGCTGACACCTTGGTTTCAGACTTTTGGCCTCCAGAACCATGTGAGAATAAATTTCTGTTGTTCTAAGCCACCCAGTTTGTGGTACGTTTTATGGCAGCCCTAGCAAACTAATACAAAGCCTATCTACTTTTCCTCTTTGAGATATCATGTTGATTATTCTGTTTCAGGCCATGGTCACTTCAAGTCTAGATGCAGTCAAAGCCACAAACTCTCTCTCCCTGCTCTGATCCATCCTCAGCACACCACCAGGGGATCTTCTTCGTATCTAGGCTTGTTTCCTATCAGATCTTATTCAGTTCTCCTTTTGGTTCAGAAGATAAGGTTTCTCACCATACTTGTTTGATTTTATCTTCTTCCACCCTGTAGTCCAAACCCTCGGTCCCAGTTGTGACAGTTTCCTCATTGTCTCTATCCCTCTGTCCCCCCAAAATCCAAAGCTGTGCTCATCTTTGTCTATGCTGTATCCCTTTGCCGATATACATACCTAAATGTGTCCATGTTTCTCTTCACCTACCCAAGTCCTCCCCATACTTTAAGGCCATACTAAAGTTCCACCTCCTCCAGGAAACCACTTCAGATGTCTCTAGCTCATAGAGATCTATGCTTTTCCTGATATCCTATCTCATCACATGCAGGGTTGGGGTCACATAGTTTATACTTTACATATTCTATTTTGAACTGTATCCAATTATTTAGCATGTCCTAGGCATCTGTAAACAGGGAATGTATGGAAATAAAATTTTTTAAATCTCTAGGAATAAGGGAGAGACTTCTAATCTAGTTTAATGCGGTTCACTGATTCTATAATTATGCCAGTACCCCTTCTATGCATCATAAAGTTTCCTCCAAGTTGTCAGAAAGCTCAAATCTTGGGATGCAGCAACAGCCTAATATAGGAGTTAAGAATTCTGGATTCCACCTATTCTAGCCTTGCTTTATGCATTCACTAGTTGTATGCCCTTAGATGAGTCTTCACTTCTCTTTGAAGGCAAGAATTATACTTCCCTTGATAAGAGAGGCAGAAATGAAGGTGCTTTGCAAAAGCAAAAAGTACCACATACACAATTTTTCTTCTGCCCTGTGTTCAATGTTCTTTCTAAGTGTGATACTTAGAAAGTGTGGAAAGTGTGGTACTGTGGTGGAAAAACACTGTGAGCTTCAAGCCATTAGACCCAGGGTAAGTCCTTGCTATGCCCGACTGGTTAGGATGGAAGAAAGGATGGAAGGATGGAAGGCAATGTCTGTCCCTTCAGGGGTGGTCCCATTTGGCACTGTTCCACCAAAGCTAAGATAGTGAATAATAAATGTTCTTATTAATTTTTTACAGCAAAGATACTGAGGCTGAGAGTTAAGCCACAAAGCCAATTCTCTAACTCCAAGCACGGGTCTAGTCCAGAAAAGAAGAGTTTATGTGCACAAATCATTGCATGCCCCTTGGCATAGCCCTACAGAGCAATTATCCTATGCAAATCTAGATTCTAACTTTAATCAGTCTTAGCAACCTACCACTCCACTTGTAGTAGGAAAGAATACAGAATTCCTTGACAACAACCCAGCTGGTTGCATAGTGATGTCATCTCACTACACCCACAGGACGGTCTAGTCTCTAGGGTTGTAAGAGGACACGCATATGTAACGTTAAGTGCCTGACATTAAGCTTTTTCTTTTTTGCTGAGGAAGATTTTCCCCAAGCTAACATCTGTTGCCAATCTTTCTCTTTTTTGCTTAAGGAAAATTAGCCCTGAACTAACATCTGTGCCCATCTTCCTCTATTTTGTATGTGGGTCACCACAACAGCATGGCTGATGAGTGGTGTAGGTCTGTGCCTGGAATCTAAACCCGCGAACCTGGGCTGCCGAAGCAGAGCATGGGGAACTTCACCACCATGCCATGGGGCTGGCCCCATGACATTAAGCTTTTGACTGCAAACACATCCATTCCATGAGTAGTAATCTTTTTGCTGGCAGTGTCTTATAAAAAAATGTAGTCTCTGTGAAGCACAATAAAGTGAAGCACAATAAAACAAAGTATGCTTGTATTAAGTTTTTTATTGCTGCATAATAAATTACCACAAATTAGTAGCTTTAAACAACACTCATTTTAGGTCACAGTTCTATAGCTCATAAGTCTGGCACAAGATGACTGCATTCTCTGCTGAGGCTGAAATCATCTATCTATATTTCTATCCTTATGCCAGGTGAGCTGACTGCTCAAGTCAGCCGTTATGTTCTCATCTGGAGCTCCAGGTCATCTTCCAAGCTCACTCTTGTTATTGGCAGAATTCGCTTCCTTGTGGTGGTAGGACTGAGGTCTCCATCACTTGCTTGCTGTCAGGTAGGGTCACTTTCAGCTTCCAGAGGCATCTTGTATTCCTTATGGTGTGTTCCCATCTATCTTCAAGCCAGCAAAAGCATAACAAATCCTTTCCACGCTTCAAATCTCTCTGACTTCCCCTTCTGTTCATAGCCTATTTTAAAGGGCTCATGTGATTATATTAGGCTCACCTAGATAATCCCTTTTGCCATTTAACATAACATAATCACAGGTATGATATCTCAACAGTTTCACAGTCCTGGGAGTTAGGGCAGGAAATCTTAAACCACTGTTTTTAGAATTCCTTAAAAAAAAACCAAAAAGCTTTATTGAGATACAATTCCAATACCAAACAGTTCACCATTTTAAAGTGTATAATTCAGTGGGTTTTAGTATATTCACAGAGCTCTGCATCCTTACGTAAAAAAGTAACCCTGTTACTTTGGCAGCCACTCCTCATTCCCTACTCCTACCATCCTCTGGCAACCACTAACCTAGTTTCAGTCTCTAAAGATTTGCCTATTCTAGACATTTCATATAAATGGAATCATACATGTGGCCTTTGTAACTGGCTTCTTTCATTTAGTTTTCAAGGTTCATCCATACTGTGGCATGTATCCATACTTTACTGCTTTTTATGGCTGAATAATTATAATATGGACATACCACATCTCGTATATCCACTCGTCAGTTGATGGGGGCATTTGGATTGTTCCCACTTTTGACTACCATGAATAATGCTAAGAACATTTGTGTATGCACTTTTGTGTGTAAAAATGTTTTCATTTCCCTTCAGTATATATCTAGAAGTGGAATTGCTGGGCCATATGATAACTCTATGTTTAACTTTTTGAGCAACTGCCAAACTGTTTTCCAAAGCAACAGTGCTATATTACATTCCCACCAGCAGTGGATGAGGGTTGCAATTCCTCCACATCCTTGCCAACACTTATGCCCGTCTTTTTGACTATGGCCACCCTAATGGGTATGAAGTGGTATGTCATTGTAGTTTTGATTTGAATTCCCCTAATGACTAATGATGATGATGATCTTTACATGTGCTTATTGGCCATTTTTATATCTTCTTTGGGGAAATGTGTATTCAGATCCTTTTAAATTGGATTACTTGAATTTTATGTTGGGTTGTAAAAGTTCTTTATGGATTCCAGCTATAAATACCTTATCATAGATATGATTTTTGCAAATAGTTTCTCCTATTCCATGGGTTGTCTTGAGATATCCCTAAAAGCACAACCATTTTTAATTTTTATGAAGTCCAATTTATCTGTTTTTTTCTTTTGTTTCCTGCACTTTTGGTGTCACATCTAAGAATCTATTGCCTAATCTAAGGTTACTAAAAAACGAAGCCAAGGTCTATGTTTTCTTCTATGAGTATTATAGCTTTAGCTCCTACATTTAGGTCTAAGATCCAGTTTGTGTTAATTTTTGTATATGAATTGAGGTAGTGGTCCAGCTTCAATCTTTTGCATGAGGCTATCCAGCTGAATTAAAATGTCATACCACGGAGAGAAGGATATCTTTGCATTCTGTGCTACTCAGTGTTTAGTGTTATACACTATCTAAACATAATTACCTCTAGGAGCCATGTGGTCCTCTCATAGGATCTCTCACAACATGGCAACTTACTTTTTCTAAGCCAGGAGGGAAATCTGCCTGACTTCTAGACCCTCTTTTAAAAAGCTCACCTGATTAGGTCAGGCCTACATAGGGTAATCTACCTTTTGGTTAAGTTAAAGTCAACTGTTTAGGTACCTTAATTACAGATGCAAAAAAATCTTTGCCTTTGCCATATAATATAAGCAATGGCATGATATCTGTCATCTTCACAGGTTCTGCCCATTTTCAAGAGTAAAGGATTACACAGGGGCGTGGGGCATTGAGGGTCATCTTAGAATTCTGCCTACCACAGTTATCTTTGTACTTATACCGTTTTAAATGCCCTTTAGCTTGTCATAATAGATACCAGTTGTATTTTAATCTTTCACTCTCATCCCACCTTTGCTTTAGCCTTATATGTATGTATGTATATATTCTTGTGTGTATGTGTTTATGAAAATGATGCTCACCATTAGTTTTTTGCTGAAGTTTTCCCAATCTACCTTTAATCTGGTGAAACTAATCCTCTAGTAGATTCCTCACGAAGGGCTCATGGGTGCAGAATTCCCTAAGTTCTTTTATTTGAAAGACAGTTTGGCTGGATATAAAATCCTTGGTTCACACTTTCTTTCACTGAGTTTTCTAAAAATGCTGTTCTATTGTTGCCTTGTTTTGTATGTCAGTTTTAAAAGTCTGATGCGAGTCTAATTGTTTTGACTTTGTAAGTTATTTGTCTTTTAATGCTTCGAGGCCTTGAGGATTATATCTCTATCTTTGTTCCTAATTTTACTAGGATATGTTTTGAAGTTGATAGCTCTTGGTTCATTTTTTCAGGTAGTCAGTGAGCTCTTTCAATGTATAGAGTCAGATCTTTTTTCTTTTCTAGAAAGTTTTCTTATAGTTTTAAATATTAGCTGTGTTCCTCTATTTTATTTTTGCTTTTCAAAGACTCTGACAATAGCACTCCTTATTTGCTTATCTTCCATTTCCACTACTTTCTTCCTGACCCTTTTAGTTCTTTCTTTATGTCACTTTCTTAATTTTTTCCTACCTTTCTTCAGTGCTCCAGATTAAAATTTCATTTCAATCTTTTCCCCCATGTTACCTTGTAATTTACCCTTCATTTAGAATTTTGTTTCCTTCCACTTCTTTTCTGAGTTCAATCAAATCTTTTTTCATCTATTTCTGTTCCTAGTTTTTGAGTGTCTGATTCTAGGTGGTTTTTCATATCCTCAAATGCTTGTTTACGTATTTTAATTCTGTTTGGAGTTTAGACTTACGGTTTTCTTCTACTTCATAGTTGTTTTTCAAGAATTTTCGTCAGCTGTTTGTTTGGCATTTCATTTCCTGATTTCAGCATTAGTTCTCTATGGATTTTACTTTTCTCTTGTTCATTTTGTGGTATTGTGGTGTTTAACAAGATTTCTACTTTAATGGTAACTTTTCCAGTCTGTTGAAGCAAAGTCTAGATATATTAGCAGGTTTTTTGGGGGAGGTCAGGGGTGGGGGAGAGATTAAATCTTCCTTTTTCTTCTTTTTCCTTCTACCTTCAATTGCCAAAGGACTCTTCTTCCTCCTTTTTTGTACATTTTCTCCCCTAGAATATACGCATTTGGAATACTGTCCCTTTAAATAATGCTTGCTCCTTTATTTTTTATTTATTTATTTTTGAGGAATATTAGCCTTGAGCTAACATCCATGCCCATCCACCACTACTTTCTATGTGGGACACTGGCCACAGCATGGCTTGCTAAGTGGTGTGTCAGTCCGTGCTTGGGATCCAATCCAGTGAACCCCAGGCCGCTGAAGCAGATTACGCCAATTTAACTGCTATACCACCAGGCTGGCCCCATGCTTGCTCCTTTAAACTGCATGGCTGATCCCTTAAATAACACCTACTTTGAAATTACTTTCCTGCAGTCCTGCTCTGATCTACCCAGTTGTTGTTGTTATACTTTTGGATTCGAGGTGGTTTTCATCTTTCTGTTGGCTGCTCCCACTAGCCTCTTTGCTATTATCATTTCTAGGTTTGCCTTTGCTTACCGCAGAGCATTCTAGCAGAGAGGGAGTGGGGCAGGAACAGGTGGGACATGGAGCTGGGATTTGTTGCTTTTTTCTCTTTTTACTCATAGTTATTTTGCACATTGGGCATTCTCTGTCTTTAAGTAACTTTGAGCGTTTGGTTTTAGATTGTGGAGGCATTTCACAAATCATTTAGGGAGGAGAGTTTGGGAGTGTGCTTACCACACACCCACCACTAATTTCAGCTACCTTGTTTTCAAAAATCCTCTTAGTATATTATCTTTTCAAAACAAAAACCAGATGTGAAAAAAATACATAATTGATTTTCGACTTATGATTAACTTGAAATTATGAGGTTTTGATTAAATTTATCAACAGTATTAGAGTGTTTATGGGAGGCTAGCTTCACTATAAATTTAATTACCAGAGTTGTTTAATTCCTTAGGTAGGTTTTGCCTTGTGTTACCAGGTTGCCAGACATCTGAAATGATTAATAGTAGATATAATATATGCAATGTATAAATGAAATTTAAAATGCTCACAGTTATTTAATTATTCAGGTCTTTAAATCGAACTGACAGCTTTAGGGAAATTTAGCTGGCTTGACTTGAGTAGACTAAACATTAATCAAAAGAAAATAACTTATTTATAGCAAACTTCCTAGATTTATAAAAAGAGTAATGAAACACACCTTTGGAATAGCAAAACTTGCCTCACTAAATCTATGAGTTTAAGAAGTAACAGGGCAGTAGTTTGGATTAGAACAAGGAGATAGGATATGGTTGGTCTTGATTAGATCTCTCCTTGCCCAACTCTAATACTTCATTTCTAAAACTTATCACTTCTCCTTAACACATCATAGCAATTCATGTCTCATTTACTGTTTTAGGCCCTGGGGAATTCAACGGAGAAAAAGAAAAAGTTCCTATCCTCATGGACTTCTATTACAGAAAAGAGACAGACAAATAAAAAAAAAATACATACATAATTTCAAGCAGTGATAAAGCCATAAGGATAAAAACAAATGTAGGATAAGGGAAGAAAGAGTGATGGGAAGGGTGTTATCAGAACTATATCCAGGGAAGGCTTCTCTGAGGTCGTGATAATTAATCAGAGATGGAGTGAGGGACAGAGACATTCAGAGGAAGATAATTCCAGGTGGAGGGTCTAGCAAATTGCAGAGGCCTTTACGTGGGAACAAGCTTTGTGTGTTTATGGTACACCAAGGAGGCCACTGGGGCCAAAGCAGAGTGAAAATAAGGTCAGAAAGATAGATGAGGGCAGATTACAAGGGACTTGTGGGTCATGGCACAGAATTTCGATTTTATTATAAATGTGATGGGAAGGCACAGAAGCATCCTATTCAGCCGGCTTAGACTGCCTTTCTCTTCCTTGGTTATCTGGCTGACTCCATTTGTCTTTCAAAATCTAGCATCATCTCCTGTGGGACACGTTCCTTACCTCCCCTGATAGGGTCAATCACCTCCTCCTGCGTGCTACTTCCGAGCAACAATAATAGATGACCGATCTCTCACACTTCTAGGGACCTCGTCTGTTTACCTTTTCACAGAACTGTGTTTTTCCCCCATCTTTGTAGCCCCAGGGTCTAACATAGCAGCGGGTGCTAGGTAAAGGTTTGATAAAGGAGAAACACCCATTCAGTGGCGCAAGCCTTGATTCCCTCCCAGCACTTCAGGTGCGGTACACCGAGCGCGTGGGGGTTGTTGCCCTGGGAGGCTGGGTGCAGCATTCCTCCAGCTCTCTCTGCAACCAGACGAAGGGCTTGGGTTTCAAGGATACTCCCTCGGCCAAGAATGCATCTCGGGAGACCCAACCTCCAAATGTCAGGTGCCTACTGTCTCCCCTTCGCCCGTCTTTGCCGTCCTTCCCGGGCCCCGTGGTGGAACCTGGGGTGGGGAGAACCTTCGGGCTTCCCAGCTCCGCGCCCGAACACTCCCCGCAAACGCTTCCCTGGCCTAGTCACGCACCCGGCTCCCCCATTCCTCCTTAACAACGGAAGTCACCGCAGCGATGCCTACTGACATTCAGGGTCCAGCGCCCCTCCTCGTTTCTAGCGCTCCCTGCCTCGTCCCGCGGTCGCCCCCACGGTTCCCCGCCCCACTCACCCAGGATGCGAGTGATCCCCAGCGTCAGCTTCTCCAGGTGCGGCTTGCTGCAGCCCAGCAGCGGGGACGGCGGCTCCTCCATGGCTCGCGTCCCCGCTCCGCGCGCGGCCAGGGCAGCGGAGGGGACCCGGCGGGAGAGCCGGGCGGGTCGGAGGGCTGGACGCCGCCTCGGAGCCTCGGCCGTCACGTTCACGGCATGCCGGGAGTTGTAGTGCTCGGCGCCTGAGAGCGCGGCGGGGCGGAGATGGGGGGCCCGGGCTGCTCTGGGAGTAGTAGTTCCGTGGGGCGCTCCTTCCCGCGGGCCCGGCGGGTGCTCCACACCAAGCCGCCGGGACACAGCGACTCCTCAACCCGGTGCTTCCAGCCCCGCCGGGGCCGGCCGCGCAAGCGGGGGCGGGCCTCTGCGCCGTGCAGCCAATGGGGACTGGGCCTGGAGGCCGGGGCGGAGCGGCCCCAGCGCTACGCCCCGAGTGGCGGTTGTTTCAAGATGGCGGACGTGGCTGGCCCCTCCCGCCCCGGCGCGGCGGCGTTCTGGAGCCGGGACTGTATCCTTTGCCCGCCTGGCAGGGCGGTCGCGTGGGACCCTGAGTGGAGGGGAGTCGCTCGGTGCGCATCCTGGGGCGGGGTCGTCCTGTTCGGCCACCGTCCAGGTGCTGGGCTTTCCTCTGGCGTGGGCATTAGGCGGCAAAGCGCCTGGTCCGTCCCCAGGTTGGCCCTCCAGGTGTGGGGATTCAGCACAGATGTTTCCCAGCCCTCGGCGGTGAGCTCTGGAAGGATGGCCTAGAATCTTGGCCCAGCCTGGGGCTGGGAGGGTCCCTCTGCCCATGGTGACCTCAGGCCGACTCAGTCTGTGCGGAGTGAGCTTATGGAGGAGGGAAGGGTTTTGGCTGGAGAGGGAGCCGTTTTGTCTTGGGTTTAGGTGTGCCCTTGGTTTGCGTTGTTAGGGGCAAGTCAGGACCTTGTGAGACTTCGAAGGCCTGCCAGTGATGATTTATTTTCATACTGGGATTTTTCGGAGAGGTATGGGGCTTGGTTTCACTGGGATATGATCGGTTTGTGCTGGCTAACAGAATAAGATGCAAATCATCGGGCCTGGGAGTAATGTTGATTTACATGTTGATTGCGGGTTACTACTGGCAGGATTGAAGTTCTTGGATTGTTTTGGGGTAGAAAAGGTATGGAGCTTTACCCTTGTGGTAGTATTCCCAGTTCAATATCTGTGATGTGTGGCATAAGTGGTTCTTTCCTTGGGTTAGGTAGACTGTTCCAGCCTGAGCTTTGGTCCTGACAATTTACTTCGTGTTTGTTACATAAAAGGAGGGCTGTTAGTGTATTGGGTGCCTGCAGATGCGAGTCTTTCTGTTTCCTAGGATTGGCGATAGCAGTGGGGGCATTGCTGTTAACTTTGGCAGAATCATTCGTTGCACATTCTATTTAGCGCGCAGTGAAACTTACACAATTATATTATCAGTTCCCCTGCTGAGTTACAGGGATCAAGTGTCATGCGGTGGAGAGAGGGTTATTTTTGCATTCCCTTCTGCTCACTGAATGTTTAGTGTCGTGCACTTCCTAAACATAATTACCACTTATCTCTGATAGGTGGTGAGAATCAAGTGAAATCATGTACACATACTGTGGATGAAAACTTACTAGTGCACTGTGTAACTGAAATATTTTTTCCTTTACCTATCAGTAGGGACGCAAAGAGTATGAGCATTGGGAACAACTGGGCTGAATTAGGAAGTCAGGAAATTGGGATGAGTCTTTTCTCATGAAACACTGCCTCTGCAATGATAGGATTTTGTGATAGAGGAGATATTTGAAGGTAATTAGCTTGTAATGCGCTTCTTTAGTATAATCATTTTCATAACCACCTTTGTAGTTTTGGTTATTATTCCTTAACTTTCTCTATGACCAATGATATTGTCCTGGTATAGAATAAATGGTGTGTGTGGGCGGGGAGGGAGACAGTCTATTGCAGCGGACTAAGTTAACAGGTATATAAACTGAGCCTGTGCTCTTGTTCTTAGCGGCCATGTACTCTCACTTATTCCTGTAGTCATGTCACTCCCGATTTCATATAGAAGTTATATGTCCTTCCTTTTCTCTCACGTTCTCCCTTACTCTAAAAATTAATGTCAAATACTCATCTTCCCACTGAAAGTGAGAAGTTGAAATTGTTTGGGGAAAATGGTGGGGATTGCTTTCTATAGAAGTTCAGATGTTTGAAAGGAATTGTAGGGTTACCAGTATCACCTGTTTCCGGTGCCTATTCCACATAATGACCAGTTAACATCCAGCCTCGGATATTTTCATTTTAAATCTCCATAGGACGCAAAAGCAATGTCAAGTGTAAATTTGTTACTGAAAAAGCATAATGATAGTTTTTTTTGCTGAAACAAATTTTTACGCAATTCTGCTGATTCGTAACAATAGTTACAAACCATTTGGTTTAGTCACATGTCTTTAGATCTTGATCTCTCTTCTTGTCACATTGATGACTTTCCAGGCCATCCCAAAGCATTTGTAGTAGAACTTTCAATAGGAAAAGACCAAAAATATGTACCTATAATGTGGTATTCTTTTCACATTATTGAAAGAAATATATTCAGTGCTTCGCCTAAACAATTAGAGAAATGTGATTGAGAGATTTCCCAGTCCTAAATGTTTCCATCATGTGAGGACAGATCATCTGTGACTGAATGTCACCTTTTTTGCTGTTGTTCTGATGACTTATGCATCTGCTGCACAGTATGATTCAGCAGTGCTGTTTTGCACAAGGTATGTCTTAATACCTAATGTGTAAACAATAAGTATGCCATGTTGTCATTTTATGGGTTAAATTTGCAAGTAAAATATGCCCCTTCAGCCATAAATTGCTTTCCTCATTCGTTATAGTTCCTGGTAATATCAGAAGTGTTTCTTCAGTATGTAAATTTGATTGCTTATAAGCACTCAAATGTATTATCATTAACAATATTACTACCTTGATATTAACAAATATGAATTATAAGGAACGTGGTCAAAACATTGCAGTAGCTATAATTTCTGACACTGAGTTTTCAATTAAAAATAGCCAAAGACTTTATGTTGATATTAAAATAATTTACTAGCTGGGAGAGTTACTATGGTCAATAATAATTACCTACACATGTGTTGCTGGTGGTGCTTCAAACTCAAGATAGAGTAGAGTGGGCAGTACTAAGTTTATTTCGTTCAGATCCCAGGCATCTGGGATAGACATGCTTCTTCTTCTCTACCGCTTCTGCCTTGAGTTTCTAATTTCTACTTTAATTCTGGGGATTTCGATAGATTGGTATCAGTATTAAGGATGCTTTAAAACTTGTACTTGCTTATTGAAGTGCTTCCAAAGAAATCAAAGAAGAACTAAAGTGGCACCTAGAACCCAATAAGAGGCCCAGTATACATTTGGCGTATATTGTGTCTCTGACTTTCCCGTAAAATATACGTTTTTTGGAAATCGCTGTATTTGAGGATGGTGAATATTTGGTTTCTTAAGATAAAGAGATGAAAACAGATTATAAATGATTAGCAAAGGTAAGTTGGATGGAGGCAGTTTCAAATATTTTTAGTCTTATTTTTAAAAATTTTTGTTAAGATCAGTTTATTTAGCAATTTTTATATTTGAAAAGAAATTTAGCATGGACGTAGCTAGTGGGTTTTGCCTGCATATTTTGAATGGGATGAAGAAAGATAACACTAACTCTTGTTGCACAGTGGTTCATAAAATTAAATATCAATTTTGTTCTTCCATAGATGGTTTACTGTGAGCCAGGCATTCTTTGATGTTTGGAGATGCAAAGTTGAACAAAACAAGATGAAAATCCTCACCCTCTTGGTGCTTACATTTTAGTAAGATGCAATGAGGCCATGAATAAGTAACAGTATATTCTGTGGACCTATGATTATAGGTGCAATGGAGAAAAAGCAGGAAAAGAATAGCTATCATGGGGGTCTTCCCTTTTTATGCCAACACCATGCTGTTTTGATTACTATAGCTTTGTAATATAGTTTGAAATTAGGAAGTGTGATAGGCTTCTAGCTTTGTTATTTCTCAAGATTGCTTTGGCTATTTGGGGTCTTTTGTGGTTCCATAAATATTTTAGTATTGTTTGTTCTATTTTGTGAAAAATACCATTGGAATTTTGGTAGATATTGCATTGAATCTGTGGATGGCTTTAAGTAGTATGGACATTTTAGCAATATTAATTCTTCCAAACTGTGAGCACAGAATACTTTCCATTTATTTGTGTCTTCACTTTCTTCCAGCAATGTCTTATAATTTTCAGTGTACAGGTCTTTTACCTCCTTGGTTAAATTTATTCCTAGGTATTTTATTCTTTTTGATGCAATTGCAAATAGGATGGTTTTCTTAATTTCTCTGATAGTTAATAGTGTGTAGAAACACAACAGATTTTTGTGTATTGATTTTGTATCCTGCAACTTTACTGAATTTGTTTATTAGTTTTAACAGTTTTTGGGGTGGAGTCTTTAGGGTTTTCTATATGTAATATCATGTCATCTGCAAATAGGAGCTTTTCCTATGTGGAAGGTCTCTACAGTTTATTTTTCTTAAAGAAATAGGAAACAGTGATTAGCTGAGAACAAGGGTAGGGGAAATGGTATCAGGTTTGTGAAGAGAGGGGAAAGTATAAAATACCTCATGAGCTTCCAGATTAAGGTGTAGCTAAGTGAGGTCCCCAGTGACTGGTGTCTTCCAGCTGTGAGCAGGATCCTTTGTGAGTGGTCTAGGGAAATGTTTTTCAGGATTCAGTTATATTAGTCTTTCCATAGGTCAAGCTTGAAGTCTATTCTGCAAATTCATCAGTATTGTCTTCTAATTGAAGACAGTGCCATATGGAGCATATCCTGAATCACCTTGGGTTTTTTTCCCCTGTTACTTTTTTCCATGTGTATATTTGCAACAGCAAACAATGAAACTTTGACTGAGCACCTATTATGTATGCTAGTCCCGAGGGATATGAAAAATGAAACAGTTTTTGCTGTTAGAGAGCCTGCACAATTTCATTTTGTAAAGCGTTCTGTAGATTGGGTGTCGATGAATTTAGAAATTCTCTCTCTGCTCCAATGTGAGTTGCTATCAGTTTGTTTGGAGTAGTGGGGTCTAATTTTTTTTGTTTGTTTGCTTGTCTTATGTGCCTCTTAAAATTTTCTAAGCTCCATCCGTGATGTTTGAGGTAATTTAAAGTTTAAGAGCACTAGTTTTCAGCCAAAATCTTGAAGCTGTGATAGTGAGAAACCACCTGGCAGCTCAGCCAGTAAGCACCCTCTTTGTACTCCTCAGTTCCTGTAGGGATTCTAAGCATTTCCAACCAGCATTCTCTAAAAAGACTCCATTTTTAGCTTTGATCCTCAGCTGAAATATGTTGACTTTTTATGCACGTTATTAAATCCACTGGATTAACCAGCCTTTTCCTGGAGGA